CATGAAGATCAACAAAGGCAGATGCGGAGTCTGGGCTGGAATAATCCTGTGCAGCGGGGCAGGCTAGGGCTTGCTAGAAAGCAGCTTTGCAGGAAAAGACATGGGGGTTCTAATAGAGAATAAATTTAACAGCAGTCAGCAGGGTGCCTCTGCAGCAAAGGCAGCCAGTTGCATGCTGAGCTGTAATACAGGCGTGTAGCCATGGGTGTAGGAACGCATTTGTTTCCCTCTTGGGCGCTCAGAGCATCCAGATACAATCTCATTATTTTGGGGCTTCAAAGGAGACAAAAGGTACTGATATACTGGAGCCAGTCCAGTCACCAAGGTGGTTTGGGCCAAGAGAGCTGGGTTTGCCGGCCTGTTCGAGGAGGCTCCGGGTAGCGCTGCCTGTGGTTACCTAATGGGAAGGTGTGCATGGGACAAAACTTGATGTGTTCCTTCTTAGAGCAAGCAGCACAAGTTACAACATGGGGAAATTTTAGAAACCAAGAAAAGAATTTGTAGTGTGACGGTAATCAAACACTGAAACAAGGGCCCACAGAGTTTGTGGAATCTATATCCATGGAGATAAGGTCCTAAGCAGCCTGTTGTAACTGGACCTGTTCTGGGCAGGAGGTTGGACTAGATGACCTCTGGAGGTCCCTTCCAACCTGGCATTGTTTTGTGGTGAATTCCTCAATTTTTAAACTGCTACTTCATGTAGCTGATGCTTACTTTAAGACATACTTTTTCAAGATGCCATTTCAAACTTGCAAGCTATTTCCTTTAATATCAAATACAAACGTAACAGAAGTCAAGCAAAGATGGCACCAGTTTTTATTTTAACAACTGTAGGTGATAAAATATCCCAGAGCAGTTTGCATTTCTGTATTGCAGGTTGTGACCTGTCTGTTATCTGTCAGAAGAAAGATTTGAAATCATTAAGGCATGTTTTCCAGGTAGTTCTGTGTGGTGGGTCTGCTCGAATCCCAAAGCTACAGCAGCTGATCAAAGACATTTTCCCAACTGTGGAATTACTGAATTCAATTCCTCCAGATGAAGTTATTCCCATTGGTGCAGCCATGGAGGCAGGAATTCTGCTAGGGAATTTTTGTTAGAAGAAGAAGCACTCTTTATTGAGTGTTCTGCCAAAGATATTCTTCTTAAGGTAAGGCTAAAATGATTTAAGTTAAAAGATTTTACTGCTGCAATGAATATACAGCACTACTTATGCACAATTGATGTTAGAGAAGCACTATTGTTTTGTTATTAGTAGTTCTACAGATTAGCTATAGATCAGCAGTAATTCGTAACTTAGGTTTATTGACAAAAAAATTGGCAGGAAAAACTGCTTGATTTTGAGGGGAGATACATTGTGTCTTTGCTATGCTGTAATAGCTGGACTTTCTCATTTATAGGGTTGTTTTTTTATTTTTATTTTTTTTTACTTGCTTTGATCGTAAATGTGGCAGAGAGAATGAACCTTGGGTTTCTTTTCTTACGGAGTGCTGCTGTAACACTTCCAGCTCACTAAGGTACTTAGAGAAAGGCATGAACTTTTTTTTTTCTTTTTCAAGGGAGTAGACGAGTCAGGGGCTGACAAATTCACGGTGCTGTTTCCATCAGGGACACCGTTACCAGCTCGAAGGCAGCACACCCTGCACGCCCCTGGAAACACTTCTTCTGTATGCCTTGAACTATACGAGTCACTGGGGGAAAGTCCCATGAACGAAGAAGGGAAATTTGCACAGGTGAGTATATACACATTCATATGCACTTTTAATATTAACCACTTGGAAATCAAGTGGATCTGGGGGGAAAAAAAAAATATTAAAATGGAAACCAATCCCACCCTTATCAAAACTTTTTGTTACAAAATTAGAATTACATACATCTGTATGGGAGACAGTCTTTAAGCATTCTTCTGTCAGTGCGTTAAGAAGTATTGAAGCACTTTTTCAAGAAATTGAAGTTTCCCTTTTTAATTTCTAAACGGGTGGTGGGGGTTTGATGTTTGGCACTACTGTAGTAAGCTCACCTGGGATGAGGGATCATCACCGGTCGTTCCAGTAGTGCACATCTCCAACATCTTAGAAATAAAACTGCTGGAAGTAATGATGTAGCTAGTGTATGTACTGCTGATTACTTTTTGAACTTCCTAGAAGGGACAGGATCTTGGTATTAAATACCACATTTGATTTTTCACAGTGGTAAGATGATACGATTAAATCCTCACCTGACATAAAGATGATATTACTTGGGAGTCAACCTATTGAGAGAACACAGCTTGTTTGAAACAGTGATGATGTGCTCCCATTGGCTTCAGGGTACTTAAAGCATCAGGGAGGGGGACAGATGTGGCTGAAATGGATGGAATACTTGAGAAAATTGGTATTCCACCTTAGTCCTGCCCAAAGATCTTTAAGGCGATAGGGAAAGGGTATAACCTAATAATTACAGAATTGATCCTAAGTAAAGGAACATGCTCAGCTCTTAATGTAGTCTGTGGGAGTTGTAGGTGCTCCAGCCGAAACAAAACCACTGAAGCAGCAGTGCAAATAGCTAAAATGCATATATTTGCCCTACAGATGGGTGAAGTCCACTAGGGCATGCTTTGATTTTGAATTATTAATATGAGATGCTAAACAGAATGAATTGCACACCTTACCTATTATGTCACTTCCATTAAACTGCTGTGCAGGGATTTAGAGAACTTTATTATAATTTAACAGTTGTTTGTTTTTTTTTAATAAATAGATTGTACTCCAGGATTTAGATAAAAAGGAGGATGGCCTACACGATATACTAACTGTTCTCACTATGAAAAGGTACCTAAAATATTTATTCTTCTGCGGTTTAACTTGCTCTGTCATACTTCTCACAAGCAGTCTTTTTTTCTGTTACAGAATGTTTAATTTTGTGTTGAGAAATTCCAGCATTTCATTGCTTACAGGGCTGTGTCCTAACAGGGGTAAATTCGGTAGGAATGAGGTTTTATGTCGTACCTTCTGTGCTTTCATTGTTTGATTCCTAAAGAAACAAAACTTAACATAGTTGTATAGGTGATTTTTAACAACTTTTGACTGTTGTTCAATTTAACTGTGCTTGAGAGCAGTCAGGATCTCAAATTTCCTCTGGAAGCGGTCAGGTAGTTCTGTTGAATGCCCACACTCTTAGGAAAAACTGAAGTAGAATCTGTCTTTATTAGTTGATAAGGAATCCATGAAGGACTTCTCATATGCAGCATTTATGAGGAAAACCTGTGGCTATAGCCTTTAAGGGGCAGGGTGGTTCAACATGAGAAACAATGCCACAGAAAATCAGGCTTCATAAATCTACTTTTTACAGAATTACCTGTTTATTATGGGAAAATAAAAAGTATCCTGTGGCAGGGTGGGGAAAAGGGGATGATGTGAAACTGAAGGAACTTCTCCAGCTTTCTTAAGTCTTAATAGCAATGTTTGGGCTTGTTTGAGATAGTCTGAATAGTTTATAAAGATACCAGAATGTGGAATTCTAAGTAAGGAAAGCATGTTTGTCTTCTGAGGACTGTCCTGAAGTTCATATTGCTTTTCTAACTAATATGAAAGTTGTCTAGATGTTGCTGTAAAACCGAATCCCTACTTGCTGTTTGAGTGCAAAATACTTAATTCTGTTAATCATCAGGTGTATTAATGCTCTATTAACAGACTTCACCTAAAATACCTTGTTAGTCATGCAGATTTGCACTTGGCACTGATAAACGAAACATCTTGGGGATTATATGTGCAACTGTACAGTGCAGAACACCTGCATTATTTTAAAAGGGGTTTTAGTAATATTTAGATGAAAAAGATTAGGGAAACTATAACACATCTATTTCTGTCTAAATACTACATCTAGACTATTGTTGTATGTCTAGATGAAGTAGGATTCAATATTGTCTCTAATTCTTTTGAAATTTGATTTTGAAAATTACAGTTTTCTTCCTTGAAAGAGATCTTCGGTATTTAAAGACTACTCTTTTTAAAAAGTCAGATTCTCATGCTTTGAGAAGATGTGCTTGTCTGTTGGTTGCTTTTACTCAGAGTTATTCAGAATACTCATCTTGAGAATATTACTGCAGATTCTATTTACAAACCTGTACTAAATAAACTTAGCTGTAACATTTAAACATGTCCCTGAATCAGTTCCACCATATGTAGAGAAGATACATGCTTTAATGGAGGGCAAAAAGTGCATATCTAAAGACCCAATAAATTAAAATTAATTTTGTAAATCTATGTTGAAGCATGTTCTTCCCTGGATATTTTGATGTTCATCTTTCTTCCTTTCATCTGCGTGAAGACTGTTGTTTGTCCTCTTTGGAGCATGCAGTAACATACAAAGTGTTGTGCTGAGATAGTCCTAAACATACCTTTCTCTTTTATCTAGGGATGGGTCCTTGCATGTTACTTGCACAGATCAAGATACCGGAAAGTGTGAAATCATCACTGTCGAAGTGGCATCATAGTCTCTTTTGACAGGCAACCTTTTTTCTAAGTTGATTTTTGTCTCTTGTTGGCTTTTCTGCCGAAGTGGTGACTCTCTCTGCAATGTCTTTAATGATTCTTAGAGGACTGTAATAAACTGAAGTAAAACGTTAATTTGCCACCAAGTCTGTTTGGATTGGAAATGGTGGTGCAAAACATTAATCAAGACGCACAGACAGCAGAGCATTGAATTATCACCACCTGTTTTTAAAAAATGCAAAGGGCACATCCTCCTGCCTGTGGGTCAGCAGCAAGCATATTACATAGTCTGAAGATTTTTTCCTTGGACTAATCACATCTATACCCATTCCACCACTGTATCTGTGCCTTCAGCAACATAATGTTGAACCAGCGGGAGTTAGACTGGTGAAAATCCACTCTCTGATAACTGTACCAAATTGTACTGAAATCCTGTGTGGTCCCGATGTTGCCTGAAACCGTAGAGGTGATGCCCGTTTGCGCTGACCTCTTGAGCAGGATTTTTTTTTTTTTCCCTGAAGTTACTGCAAGATGGTTTTGCAGTATTACCTGAAAAATGTGTGTAAGGGTTATATGTGCTTATTTATGTGTTACTAATAAAATACATTTTTTTTTATGCAGATCCTGGCATCTTCCATTCCATGTGGAACTGTTCTAATCTGTATGTCATCGTGTATTTGTTTAGATATAAGCTGGCAGCTTTTTTCATTTTGGTAAGGGAGTAATAAGAAGGAAATGGAGCAGGCAAGTGTAGTAAGAGGATCTGAGGGTCTCAGCCCAATGTGCAGTTAAGGGGCAACAGTTCAGCCCTGAGGGCCAGGTGTTACCATATAAAAAATCCAAAGTAACACAGTAGACCCTCAAAACTAGAGACAGAAACTAGAGCAAGGGATGCCTGTCTGGATGTGAAGAGACGTATGTTCAGTTACTTGCTTTTTCTACGGGCTTCCCAAATTGTCTTGTATTAATGGAATGTGTATTTCAGTATTAACAGAATGTGTATACAGTAGGTACTGCATAGCATAGACATAAATCTTACTGCGTTCCAATAAAACGTCTGCATTGTTCTGTTGGGGTAGTGGAGCCTCACAGACCTTATAAATGTGAGTAAAGAAGTGTTTAAACACCAACAAGTGGCCAGACATATCTAAGGGATGTTTTGTTGTGTGGAATAGAATCACAGAACGGTTTGGGTTGGAAGGGACCTTTAAAAACCATCTCATTCCACCCCCCCCTGCTATGGGCAGGGACACCTCCCACCAGCCCAGGTTGCTCAAAGCCCCATCCAGCCTGGCCTTGAACACCTCCAGGGATGGGGCAGCCACAGCTTCTCTGGGCAACGTGTGACAGTGCCTCACCACCTTCATAGTGAAAAATTTCTTCCCGATACCTAATCTAAATCTCCCCTCTTCCAGTTTAAAATGGGTACCCATCATCCTATCGCTACACTCCCTGGTAAAGAGTCCCTCCCCATCTTCCCTGTAGCCCCTTTAGGTACTGGAAGGGGCTCTAAGGTCTCCCTGGAGCCCCAACTCTCTTAGTCTGTCCTCATAGCAGAGGTGTTCCAGCCCTCTGAGCGTCTTTGTGGCCTCCTCTGGACCTGCTCCATCAGGTCCATGTCTCCTGTGCTGAGGGCCCCAGAGCTGAACACAGTAGTGCAGGTGGGGTGTCACCGGAGTGGAGGGGCAGAATCCCCTCCCTTGCCCTGCTGGCCACGCTGCTGGGGATGCAGCCCAGGATGCGGGCGGCTTTCTGGGCTGTTGATTGCACATTGCCGGCTCATGTTGAGCTTCTCCTCAGCCAACACCCCCCGGTCCTTCTCAGGGCTGCTCTCAATCCAATCTGGGGGGATTTATGGGGCTCAGGGCTAACTTGAAAGCTATATTCATAAGAAACACCTCTTCTGAGAAGCCTGCTGTGATAAGATAACTTTTTT